CACCCCCACACTCATGCATGACATTGTTCTCAATTGACGAAAGATAAGGACGGTAGAACGAAGTTACCATATTAGGTGTGAAAGATGGTGGACATAACAAGAGGATGGGCGAGACTCGAGAGATTAACTCAACAACCAAAACACCACATGCTCCCCAAAGGTTGACTTATAGAAGGAGAAAGAAATGATAATCGGTGGGTTCTCCCAACAAGCGCTTATTTAACGCCATGAGCTGGACGAGAGCTCCTAAATCTCGGTCCACCCCAAAACCTCCTTAAACTTTAGTTTCTCGTCGGTGATGTGGAGGCGCAAGTAACATACATGTGATACTTCAAATGATGTCAATGGCTCGTGGACTTGATGAAAATTGATGCTCCATCCATGAGACCTTTTCTTCTTTCCTTCTACTTTCTTCTCTTTGCCCCACCCATGCAAGACGTCATGGAAAATTTTTTCCTCCCATTGGAATAATCAAGCTCTTCCTCTTCTTTGATGCTCACTTCCTCCTCCTCAACCCCTTATCTCACCTTCCCATCCTCGTCTTCAAGCAAAAATTGGAGGGAAAGATGTCATACAAGGTTGTTGATAAGGTCATCTTGCTCCTCCTCCCTTGTGACTTGATGAAAATTGATGCTCCATCCATGAGACCTTTTCTTCTTTCCTTCTACTTTCTTCTCTTTGCCCCACCCATGTAAGACGTCATGGAAATTTTTTTCCTCCCATTGGGAATAATCAAGCTCTTCCTCTTCTTTGATGCTCACTTCCTCCTCCTCAACCCCTTATCTCACCTTCCCATCCTCGTCTTCAAGCAAAAATTGGAGGGAAAGATGTCAAACAAGGTTGTTGATAAGGTCATCTTGCTCCTCCTCCCTTGTGACTTGTTCTTCAAAGTTAGTCGTGGGATGGGGAAAAGTGTGAAACTTATCAATGAGACACTCTTGATCAATTTCACTACAAGAGCTCACCGAGATGAGTTCCGCTTGCTCCACATAGTCATCATCGATCGCCTCTTCAACCTCATCTTCCTCTTCAAAGAATAGCACGATTCTTGATGCTAGACTGGGTAACTGACCTAGCTATGTAGGGAGAAGTCTACTAAGTGCCCGAGAGTTTTTGTGTAATGGTCTGAGGTGGCGGGTTGGAAATGGGGAAAATGTGAGGATATGGGGCGATCAATGGTTCCCAAACTCAATAGTGGGTTTTGTAGATGCGGCGCCAAGAGGTGTGCTAGTGGACTCCATGGTTCGTGAACTAATTGATCCTATTACGGAGCAGTGGGACGTGGGTTTAATTGAGAGTTGCTTCCCAATGGAAATGGATCAAACAATTCTCTTGATCCCGTTGTGTGGAAGTGAGGAGCAAGACTGTTTGATATGGAACCACGATGCGGATGGGAAATTTACAATGAAAAAGGTTATAGGAGATGACTATAAGACTTCAAACATGCAGAGGGCATTGTGCCAGATGGGAACTTTACCAAGCTGCAAGGCCATAGTAGTTAAATCTGTAAAGGTGATGGACAAGTCCTTCCTAGAGCAATGAGCGATGCTAATGTGGGCATTATGGAAGGAGCGGGCTTTTCAATGGGAATAAGTGGTCGGAGAATGAGGGAATAATGCGAGCCAGCTCTATGCTTGACGAATATTAGATGAATCAAGGATAGGGATGTCAATTCAACCCGTAACCATTGGTATCCTACCCTAACCGGTCAACGAGGGTAATTACCCGTTTTGATGGGTTAAGGGGCGGGTATGGGTAATACCCGATTTCAAAATAACGGGTAGGGTACGGGCATGGTAATCACCCATACCCGCCCCGGTTGTACCCACCCGTAATTATGTATGGATGTAAGCTAGCAAGTGTGTCTAACCCTTGTAGCACCATTCATATAAATATTCCAATTCCATTCCTCCAATTTCCATACCCCCAAAACCTTTGCTGGCTTCGCTGCTTGTGTGTTGTTAATTGTTGCTTTAATGGATAATATGTACGTGTAATTGTTTCCCATTCCAATTTGTTGAGCTTCTTTCTCATGTTTTATATTCAGAATTGTTGGCTTTACAAATTGTGAGCACATACTATCAACATTACCGGAAAAGTGTGAGATGAATTTTCATTAGTATGTGTGTCTAGCTGTTAGAAGTGAACCAACAATTGTCATCTATGTGAAATTTATCAAGGCTTATGTCAATTAGGTGTATCTAATGGTTGATGTACGTGTATAAGTTCATATGGTAATATTATTTTAGAATATAATTATTTACAGTTTGATGATAAATTCATACCCGTAAGTTACCCGAGTACCTATGGTTACCCGGTGGGTAGGGTATGGTTATATCATTTCAATACCTGGTGGTTATTTTACCAAGTATTTTAGCCGGCCATATCCGGCGGGTTAGGGTATGGTATAGGGTGTACCCGCACCCGACCCTACCCATTGCCTACCCTAGGCAATGGGTCGGGTTGGGTCGCGTTTTGCCAAACTCAAACCCAAACCCATGGGTTTATCCATGAAAAAAATCCGGGGTAAAACCCAGTGGGTTTGAAAAACTCAAACCAAGCCCAACCCGTTGGGTTTACGCGGGTTCATGGGTACCCACAAGTTTTTGTCGTAAAAAATTTACAATAACAAGTTCCTATCAAAATTAAAGTCAAATATCAATCTCTCAGTACAAATTATCCATATATAAAACACCATTCTAGAAAATTCAAGCAAATCATAAATTAACTATACAAATTGTTCAACACCAATTTAGAAAACTCCAGAAAATTGAATCAAATCACAAATTATCCATAAATAACATGATTAATTGAAAGCTTCTTCCTCCTTGTCAATTAAGTTTCTTCACTCTCCACTCGATAACATCAACTTCATTCTACAAAATTAGAAAGAAAAAAATTAGACATGTCTCTACAAACATAAATAAGATTAGTTGTTTAGAATATTAAATATATCGAGAAAATTAATTATATGGGTGTGGGCGGGTACCCATGGGGCGGGTTTACCTAAACCCAAATCTAACCCAACCCGATGAATAGTGAACGGGTTTAAACTCGAACCCGACCCAAAACCCGTCAACACGGATTTTACCCGCGTTGACCGGGTTGGGACGGGTGGATACCCGTGGGTTCGGGTTTTGTTGCCATCCCTACCATTGCCATTCCTAATCAAGGGCGAGGTGGGAGAGAGGCCACAATCGAAAATGGGAAAGCCTGGAAACGCCCGCCAGAAGGATGGATAAAAGTGAATTTGGATGCAAGCATAGTAGTCAAAAATTGGGATTTTACATAAAATCGAAAATGGGATAAAATCGGAATCGTAAAATCAAATTGTAAAATCGTAAGATTTTAAGGTCCATATAAAAATGAAGACGCAATAATATTAATAAGAAAAATCATGAATAACAGTATAACACAAAAACAGATAACACTTACAACGATAACTTATCAATGTTAATGTTCCAATTTATTAAAGTTAATGTTGGGAAGTGGCAAATCGATGATGATTAATGTGTTAATGTGAATTAATGATGGTCGATGGTGGTTAGTGTGAGAGAACTAGATAATGTTGGTAGAGAAGAAGGAAAAGGCATGATTTTTCGAATTCTGGGGAAAATAAGTAAAATTAACCCAAAGATTTGAATCTTCATATTGTAAGATTTTAAAATTTTAACGATTTAAATCGTGAGTGGGATATATTAGGTCCTGCGCCAGCTCAAGCGGGATAGTGTAGGATTTTAAGGTCCTTAGATTTTATAATCAAATCAGGATCAAAACAAGTAACTAGAATTGTCGGATTTTATGATTTAAATCGAAATTTTTTACTGCTTTGGATGCAAGAGTTATTGACAGTAGGGGTGTGGGGTTGGGGGCCGTTATTAGAGACCATCGTGAGAGATTTCTTGTGGGCCTGTGGCAACAACAAAGAAAGTGAATGGTAACTTTGAGGTGAAAATGGCGGAGGCCCTAGCGGCCGAATTTGGTGTTCAACTCGCACGACAGTTGGGCTTCTCAAGACTACTTCTTGAAAGCGATTGCTTAACACTTGTTGAGAAGCTATCGAGGGCAGAGGAGCTGCATATGGGAGATAGGTCTTATAAATAGAAGTGTGATAAGGTACTTTTTAGAGGCATGCTCAGAGGTGAGTTGCATACATCATGTTAAGAGAGAGGCGAACAATGCGACACATACCCATTGCAAAATTAGATGGGATTGTCTGAAGTAGAATTGGATAGACTGCCGATTGATCTTGTTGCAAGTCACATCATCATTTTCTATTATTAAATTAATTATTATTTTATTATTTAAGTGTCTATGTTCTTATAATTATTTGAAAAAATCAAGTGAATTACAAACAACATATACCATTGATCTGCACAAGGTTGTCAACCTACGGGCTGACCCAGACCCGGTTGAGCTAGTGGGTCAAGGGTTAATGGGTCACCCGTTTTATCCCGGGTATAGGGAATGAGTCATTAAATTGTACTTATCCTGATAAATTATATTAAATCTCATCTAACATATGAGTTATAACATATAATATTACACCAAAATAACATGTCGTACTTAGATCCAACATATAGTGAAAAATCACACACATTTATATAATATCAATATTCAAATGTTTAACTTAGTATTCCAAAGATTGAGTTATGCGAAAAGAAAAATCAGAAAATATGCGTATTTCGCAAACCAAAGAAAAAAATGACACAATTTAACCTCCAACCCGGTACTAAGTAGCGATCGACCCAGCATGTGAGTGCGGCCCATTTTTCTCACGGGGTTAGGGTCAATAGGGGTCGTGGGTTGACAACCTAATACAGTTTAGTCACCAGATCTGCTCCGAAAATGTTTCAAGGAAGACGGGGGCACATGAATAAAGTCTGTTTCCAACCCGTATGAAATTTTCCAGAACACATTTATTGTTGGCCGTCGTCAGCGGTGGCGCGGAGAGGGTCTTTGTCATCGGCTAGGCTGTTTTCCTTCCCGTTGACTCTTCGATGGCTACGAAGCGCTCCGAACTCCTCCAGCGTTACGGTGAATATTTCAGTTGTCTCATTCTTTCCCTCGTTAATTCTGTGCCAGAGGTCTTGAATTGAAGCTTTTCCTCGCAGGCTATGACTTACTGTTAGGTTCAATTGCTGCGTTTTACGTGCTTATGGCGCCGTACACCAAGGTCGAGGAGAGCTTCAACATTCAGGTGCGCCTACCCAATCTCTACTCTGCCCCAAGTTGAAGAAAGCTCCATGGCTTCTTTTATTTCATTAGGATTGTGCTTCTGCTGATCACTACTTCACATTCTTATGATTGTGTAGGCGATGCATGACATTCTTTTCCATCGCCACCACTTGGATAACGTAAGTTGTAGTGTTGATGTTGTGGATCATCTTGTTCCAGAATCATTTGGGAATTTGATTTAGAGATGCTTTTTTTTTTTCTTTTCAACTTCCATTTGCAGTATGATCACTTGGAGTTCCCTGGAGTTGTTCCTCGTACCTTCATCGGTAGCCTTTCTGTTTGAAGGCTTTCCACTACGAACAGTAGCAGGCGCTATTCATTATCGATCCCTGATTATGCTTTTCCCCCCTCTCATTTAGGAGCATTTCTGATTTCAACTTTAGCATCTCCCTTAGTATTTGCCATGCGCTTGCTGCAGTTTCCGAAACTATATGCACTCATCTCAGGTTAGTATTTCGGATTCATTTTCGTCAGTTATACATAAAACGAGGAGCAAGAAAATGAATATGGTATTTTGATCCATACCGTTGTGGTCGGGACTGGGGAGGCTTATCTATCAGCTCTTTCTCACTGTTGTTACTAGTTCGCTTGGCATTGGGTTCTGTCACTCTTGGAACTTTCAGGTTCTTCCGTATTCAGGTAAATATTTCAGTTTTGATTCTTGGGGTTTATTCCATTATGGAAATCTTTCTTTGAACTATTGCATTCATGTACTGCTTACAGTGTTTATAATGTTGACTACATGCTTGTGGAGCAGGTTAGGCAGAAGTTTGGTCATCAAGTGGAGGGATTTTTGGTGGTGGTAACTGCATTTCAGTTTCACTTGCTGTTCTATTCCACCCGTGGTCTTCCCAATATATTGGCTTTGGGTGGAGGTGATTGTCTTCTTAATTCAACCCCCAATTCCTGCTTTATCAAATTGCTACCTGTGCAAATATGATGTCTTTTCTATAACAACTCTAGCCTAGTCTGTAATGAGCTTCAGGCTCTTTGCACATTAAGCAATTCAAAAGAAGTTCATACATGGATCCTTTTTTGATTCTGGTGTTGATCACACATGGATTCTTGATATTTAGATGTTGCAAATTGTATGCATTATCCATTGACTATAAGAGGCATATGTTGGTGCAAACTGCTTCAAATTCTCGCAGGAGTAACCCTTGTCACAATCTATAGGAGGCAATCACTATATATGTTAAGTTAGCAGCTTACTCGTCAGTGTGTAATATCCTATGTTTAAAACTAACTTGTTTACTCATCAACTGGCTGCAGTCAACTTGGCTTATGGGTACTGGCTCAAGCAGAAATATTATGTCTCCCTGAATTGTCTGGTATCGTTCTCTATATGTTATTTTAGTGGTGCCTCTCTGCAACCATATTGTCATGGTGCAGACAATTGCATAATGTTCCTCTATCGTTTCTGAATCTTGACAGCCATAATTTGGTATATTCTTGGCATAGATCATTCTGTTAGCACTTATAAGGATAAGTTGTAACTGGTTAAACTAGGTCGTACTTTATCTTTGTACATTTCTGTTCCTCTCACAGCTTTTTTATTTTTATTTTGTGGATTCACCAGATCTTCGTTGCTATAGTCTTCAGATGTGACATGCTATTGCTTCTTGGCCCTCTTGGCTTGCAGCTTTTGTTGGTACTGCGTTGTTATAAATTTATGGTTAATTTGATATTTATTAATTGGCTATCCATGATAACTATAGATCTTTTTTAAAATCTTCAGACCAGATCTGTTTCAGTTTTTGGCGGGATTAAATACTGCCTCGGCTTTGCGCTACTATCGATTGGTTTGTCAAAACTTCTGCTGGCAATAATAAATCCCATTAGAATAAGGTAGTTACTTATGAGTTATGATGGATCTAAACTAGTCTTCCATATTTGTTGCTTCTCCATGCAGGTCTTACCATGTCCATTGACTCCATTATGTGGAAAAGACTATTGTGGCCAGAATTTGAAGTATTCTGGTTCAACTCTGTTCTTAACCGAAGCTCTGAATGGGGTGTATCCTTCATGGACAGAAAGTTTATGTTTCATTTTTAGGTAGTTCATTGTAAAAATTATAATGCGCTCAAACTGATCAAGCAAAACGTAAAGATTTAAGGATCTATCTACGCTTGTGCTGTTAGGTATGTAACTCTGGGCATTTTAGGACTTTAAAATCTTTAGTATCTCTTTGGTGAATAATAGACGCCATTTTACTTCATCATCGAACTGGTTTGGATTGGGATTGCCATTATTTTTTATCCAGGCTGATGGAAGCTTGCTCTTAGACTTAGGAGACAGAGTAATGATTGTTTGTCTACAGCTGCAATGCTACTTTCACTGCTGATTGATGTTACTCTTGGTTGTCTTCCTTACTTTTATCTATGCCTCGTAGTCGGTTTTCTCAATCTTACTATTTAGTCACTAGTGACAAGATGAGGGTTAAGGTGATGTTGGAATTGTTGCTGCACATTTGCTATTTCTTGAGACTGCTCTCTGTGTTTCTCCTTTGACTTTGTTTCTAATAGACACATTCCTTCCATTGGTACTTCACTTCAGCTCTCCCACGTTCTCTACTTGCTGCATATCCTCTTTTCATGGTGTGTCTTTCACATTTAACTTAAATATCAGCAAGTCAGCTTCATTTCGGTTACTCCAGTGGTACACTTTTGACTTTGAAGAGATTGTACTTTGTTACTGTTTTCTGCAGCTTGGTGTTGTCCTAGATCGAAGAGTTCGGTACTTTGTTCTTCCGGTTGTCTTGTTCATTTTGCTTTACTCTAAGCTTCCACACAAGGTATGTCATGCAGCTTCCTTCACGCAAACATGTTTGAAATCTATGCATGATCGTATTTTTTATTATCCTTTTGGATGATTGCAGGAACTGCGATTTATAATTAGTTCTGTTCCAATGTTCAATCTCTCTGCTGCTGTTGCAGCAAGCAGAATGTATGCTTCTTATTCTTCCCATAAGTCAATATATACTTTTGACCTTTTTTTAAGCTGCGATTTCACTTCCTTGATCGGTTGCCCTAATTTGCAGCTATAACAATAGGAAGAAGACATTATGGAAGTTGTATAATTTTATCTTGTTGGGACTACTCTTGATCAGGTTTAGACCCATTCTTTTGGAGATTTGAATGATCTCCATCCTTTATTACTTACTTGTTGTAATCTGTAGTGTAGGGTGCACTGCAGTGTCTTTCATGGCATCTTATGAAAATTATCCCAGTGGTCATGCATTAAAAGAGTTGCACCAGAATGTTGGTGAGTCTCTTGCTCTTTGATGCACGTGCAGATATGGCAGTAGTAATGTCTGTTCAGTTGCTATTTGGTGCTTTACTGATTTTGATTTTGATCCTAATCACTATCTGTATAAATTCCAGGCGATGTTTCTGATAATGGCCAAATATTGGTTCATATCGATACCTTTTCAGCCATGAATGGAATATCACGCTTTTGTGAAAATGGTTACCCATGGAGGTATTCTCAATGTCCACTGTAATTTCAGATGCTAACCACATCTGCCTTTTACATGCTATTTTATTCTGTTTTATTGGTTCGTTTGATGTGACTATTAGTAATCAACGTAGGTACTCTAAAGAAGAGGGCATTCCTCTTAAAGAATACAAGCAGAGAAATTTTACATATCTTGTAAGGTAATTTTACATATCTTGTAAGGTACCCTAAACCACCAAATATTGGTTCATATCTGGAATATGAATGATATGGTGGTGTTTTGTGACTCCCCTTTATACTGCTTGATGATTCCAACACTGAGACAGTCACAAATCTCCATCCAGGACTTCGAGCCTTGTAAACATTTATGCGATAACCTCACTTCAACATCTGATTTTCTTTGCTTAATTTGTTGGTAATACAGTGAGCATTCAAGTGTTGATAGATATGAGTGTTTATTTTCTGTGAATGGCTTCTCGAGGATTCTTCTTCAACATGGCTTCCCTCCTGTTGCCCTGGTAAAGAAAATTGAAGATTCTACCAAATTTCTATTTTGATTCTCCCCTTATTACTAAAAAGCTTGTGGCAAAAAGCTTGTCGCTGATTACTGACATTGATCAGGTGAAAAAGCCAAAGGTCTACGTTCATGGGGATGGAAAAGTCATGGATATAAAATGGCGGGGCTGCTCTTGAGTGTTCAAGAAAGATGGAGTGTCAAGTCCCTTCTGTAATGCCCTGGTGGAGGATTGGATCTTTCCGACGATTAAGAACAGAGAAATAGACGGGACTGAGGAAGAAGTGAGGTGAACTTGAGAAGAAGAATTAGAGAATCAGAAAATAGAGGAAGAATAGAAAACGATTGAGAAGAGAACAGAACTAGCAGAGGAAGAAGGAGATACAGAGCAGAGAGGAGAGGATAATTGGAAAAATCTACTCTTCTTGGTTGTTCCTTTATGTTACAGCAGGTCCCTTTTTATAAAGCTTCGTCAATTACAAAATAATCCCGGATCATTACAACTCCAAACCCCTTGAGACCAGACTTGTCCTCGAGTCTATAACAGAACAACAACCAACAACATAAGAAATGATAAGATAACGAACATATGGGCTATACTGGCCAATGCTCATTGAGTCATTGGTACGAAGTTAGAGCTGCTCCTCATAAGTCATAAGTTGCTGCAGCATGATGCTGAGATGGTCTTGCACTTCTAAAACCTGCAGTGCACATATTTCCTCATGTTTTGCAGCCATCAGTACGAAAGCAACACCAGGCAATTGCAATCTTTGCCCATTAATCACATTGTCTGCCACAAAGTAGATACTCTTCTGCAATGGCCTCATAAACTTCACCGGCCCTCATCACAACTCCCTGATAGCCCTTGAACACCCAATTTTGCTGAAAATTACCAACAAACAGCCCTCCAATAGTGTTGTCCCCAAAATTCTCCTTGAACGGTTCCTTAAAGTTTGTACAATTACCCCTTCCATGAGATTCCTCTAAGAAACCACATGTGACCGACCAGTTTCCTTCATACTCATAGCCAACCATTTGTGACTTTTCATTCCAAGCTCCATGCTCCCCTGAAGAAGGTAGCTTGTCAATACTATCAAGGACCATGCTATCAACATTCCCGAGCACAGAAACAATGACTGGAATTCTAATATGAGATTCATAATGAGGAACTACTCCTTGGACCAGCAACACCAAACTTCCAGCAATCTCGGAATGCAAAGTAACATCCATGTGCACATCTTTATCAAGAACAACATTAACACCCACTTCATGCTTCTCTGCTGTAAAGTCCACCTGTGGTTTCGGTTGATGTTCAGCTTTGGTCTTAGCCATCTTTCTTTGACTGTGCTCTTCATCATAAGTAGCAATAGCATACTGCCTCCAGTTGGCATTCGCTCCTGTGTTCACACATGGAGGAGCTTCAATAGACAATTCATGATTCTACTCCAAGGGCCTGGCCTGAACTAGGACAGAGTTCCTCCCAACAATTGAATCACAACACCATTGTGGAATATATGGCCATGATCAATAACCCTTTGGTCCGCAAGCTGCACACCATCACTAACTGTGTCATGCTCATCAATGGCATCGAACTCTGGCATTTTCTTGGCAACATTCGGTTTAACATAGCTAGCCTCTCTCCTTGTTAATGAAGACTAATAGTTCTATCAAAGTGGGCAAACATTGCTCCTGAGACAATTTTGAGGTGATTCCAGTGCAGAACTTTGGTCTTGCGTGGCACTTGTCTCACCATTCTCAACAACTACGTCTGTAGAATCAACACTCTCATTGAAGTCATTAGCTACTGTAGTGCTCAAACTCAAATCATCCCTAAGCAGCCATAGATTTTCAAAACCCCTACACAAGCTGTGTACAAACTCCGGCCATACCCACACTGAGGGACCATAGGCCCAACTTTCGAACCACACACCTGCTCTATGACCGAAATTGACTATCGTATCTTGACCTTTTGATCGTTGGGAATCTTGTAGAGGATAAAAAATTCCTCACAAACCTTAGCCCAGCCTTCTAGGTTGTCGCCGAAGAAGATGGGAACTTCTTATTCAGGTAGGATTAATGGATGTTGGGTATTAGCGAAAGTAGTAGTAATTTTGGATCAATACAAAGGAAATAATTGGTGTTTAATCACTCTTTTTAGTAAACACTCAAGAAACAAATAAGGCCTTATTCATTTGGCTCTTGCCTTACATCGTACAGAAGCTTAGCTTTTTTTTTTTTTTATTCTTACAAGCTCTCTCTGCCCACTCTTCTCCCATACATACATGTACATTTTCTTATATGTAAAAGCTGACTACACTTTATTGCCCCCAAACTTGCAACTACTGTTTCACTATTTGTCGTTTCTTGAACGACTTTGGGGCTTCTCGCAGCCAGTCACACACCTCCACACGGTGACGCCTTCCCTGTCTTGCATCAATCGGCCATGTCGTCCGTACACTATCCCCAGTTGGCCTTACCTCAAAATCCACAGCGGCGGCTGATGCTCTAAAACACAACACCTAACAATGGCCAAGTGTAACCAATGGAAGGGACTGCAGTATAGTGGCTCAAGTGATAAATATCGAATCCACGGGTCTCTAGAGTTACTATTACTCAGCTTCAGTTTATTATTTAGCAAACCAGATTAAGATGAAAGAACTAAAACTACTCTAGCAAACTACAGTTAAAGTTAATCTTATTACAGGTTGGGAACTCACTTAGGTATGATTCCCCCTAGCCACTAGCCAGACTAACGACTGATGATTTCTAACTTGTTTCACTTTCATTCACAATGCGGAGAATCCTTGACTAGACCTTGAGTCTCGACTAAAGGAACAAGGCCCTCTTGAGTCAATTGCCTAGAGGGACGTATCCTTCTCTAGAACAACTGATCAAGGTGTTCTGAACTAGACTCCCTCTATCGAAATAGGTTCTCAATCGATACAAAGCAGTGAATCAACCCTCGACTAAAGCAATCGATCCACTACTATCAATCTATGGTGCTCTATTGACCTAATCAGGTATTCCCTCTCATAGGATCAAAGCAGAATCAATAATCTCGACTAAAGCAGAATTGAATCATGAAAACATGCATAGATTGAATATGAACTCAAGATTATCAAGTCAGAGTACTCATACAATCATCCAATCAAACAAACATAGCTAGGGTTCCTCAAAACCTAAGTGAAGGGAAGTTACTCCATAGAGAAGAAAGAGACTGCAGTAAGAATCTTCAGATGATCAGTCTTCAAGTCCGGGCTTGTTCCTCGAGCTTCCAAGGCGGAGAAATCCTCCAATTCCACTCTTAGAATGCCCTCAGATCGCCCTTTCTCTCTTTGGTTCGTCCCTTGGGTGTTTGGGATCCAAACCCCAGCTCTCTCCTTTCCTTTGGCTGAAAATCGGGTTTTAAACAGCAATTCCCGACTCACACAGGCAGGCCGCACGGCCGTGCAGCTCACCCAGTTGCCCGTGAGAGTCAAAACGCAGCGTATCGATTAGTTGAATTCCAGGCTTCTTACACGGCCAGGGTCGCACGGCCGTTCAGCTCACCTTGCACGGCCGTGCAGCTCACCTTGCACGGCCGTGTGGATTTTCTGCTCTGCCCGTGTGGCTTGCTCAGCCTCTGTTTAATGCTTCGTTTCTCCCTCGTCCAGACTCCGAATCTGTCGCCGTTTGATCCCAGACGCTCGTAGTCTCGTCCTCTTTCGTTTCATAACAAGCTTGCATGATTCTTTGTCCATAAAGTGAGGTAGAAATCCATTCTTCTTCAGGTCATGCCCGAGTTTCTTCTCTCGAATCGTCAATTGATCTCTGATTGACTTGAAACTTGCGCCTATGCTTCACTTTATGTGCTAGGACCTGAAATGGGACAAAGGAACACAACCTAGCATAAAATAGGCCAAAGACGCAATAATTCAAGCTCAAAAAATCAAGAAACAAAAGGGAAAACATGTGCAAATACCGAGTCATCAGTGGCATACAGTCTTTTCAGCTCTCAGTTGGGAACGACACAGCTGATGAGACCTCTTCGCAGCAGCTCACACACGCCACCAACTCACATTGCTGCCATCGATTAGTGGAAGAGCCAGCTTCTCTGCTTCGGCCCTCTCAAATCCGTCTGCAACTCTTTTCGATTCTGTTGTTTCTCTCTTCCCCGCTTTGACGCCAGCCTTTTCGACCACCATCAAGTGAAATCCCATTCCCAGGCTATCTACTTCCCCTTTTCTTCTCATCTCTCTCCTGTCGTTCGTCACATACTTTCCAAATCTTGATTTATGGAGAGGTGCGAGTGTTAATTGGGAGGAGGAGGGATTGGATAATCATTGTCGTCGTAGGGATAGGATCGAAAATGTTGCTACAGTGCCGAATAATGTTGTCGGCATCGACGGAAGGAAGAGGGGAAGCGAAGATTCGATTGGGAGGCGGAGGGAAAGGAGAGCAGCCAATGGGTTCGGAGTGTGGGGGTCTGTTCAGGTTAGTTCTCTGCTTTATATCGCTTCTTCTTCCAATTTCATCAGGTCTGTTTCCACTCTAATTTTGTACTCCTTCCTATCCCCTGAAGATTGCTTCTTAGAACATGGCTTTTCTGTGAAAGAGCTGCTGATAATTATTGGTCTGATTGGTGCAACTGTGAAAGACCAGTTGTTTGTTTATTATTGCTAAACATGATCGTTATTGTTTGATGGACTGTTATGCTTACACTAGAACTAATCTCGGGGGTATATTGTAAACTGTACAGCTGAGCTAGGGGTAGATTTGCAATTTTCTCACTCGGCTTTCTAGCTTCCAACCATAATCTGTAAGTAAAAGAGTATATTTTTTGTTCTTGCTTTGGGGTGGCTAAATCTGGATATGTTGTCTACATATGAATTTTATATGCCGGCACAGTTTGGCAATGCAAAAGCTGTGGGTAAGAAGATGGACAACGATGTCATGACTCCTGTTGGAATCAAAGATACAAGCAATGGTAAGCGATTTCCAATTTCGCTTCTTCTTCCAAAATCTCATATTGTCCCAAAGTCGATCCAGTTTCAGCACCTTTCTCGGTTCTAAAAGATGAGTTCATTCATTTGATTCATCTGTCATTCACACCGACTTCAGTTATCAGTTACGTTCCTAGACTCTTTGTCAATTTTTGCTAACGATATTGGTGGATACAAATAATGACATAAGATGTTTT